GTGGCACGTTGGGCATTGTTTCACGTGTGTACTGTACATATATTGTAACTCATTGACTTCCGATTTTCTTCCTTTACTACTTCTTGGTTGGAAAGGGAACACTTGATGCTGCGTGCCATTTTTCGCTTTTACACAGTGTTGTAGCGAAGGGGGCTGACACACGAGGCTGATAGTAACGAGCCGTTTCTTGCTACATGGTCGTCTTGACCATCGACTACAAAGCGTCCGGAGCAAAAGGAGAGAGAAGCAGAGCGCGCTCATTTTTTAATGAGGGTCATATTAAGTCACGTGATAGTTCGGGTGCTCCGCGCAGAAAACGTTTCCGAGCAAAGCCCTCTTTTCAGGCTTCGTCATCCGCTGGTCGCGCTCTCTAGATCGCACTGACTGACCCACTAAATGTTTTAAAGGGGTACTCCGCCGTTTTCTTCATAGTCCCCGATTTGCCTAAAAGCTTGCTAGACACACCAACAAACATCGCTGAACTAGTAACCCAAATATGTGGACAAAATAACTTTTTTTCGTGCAGTTACAGAATTTACAATTTTGGACCTCATCGTGTTTTTCAAAGTGAAAAGCTCTACGGGCAACATTGAAAAAGTGACGTCATGGTTGGGTAGGAGTTCACTCTTTGGGCTGTAGACTTTGTTCACATCTGATTACAAACAGTTTCATGGTGTCAAATGAATGCTTTGGAAGGTCGCTCCAGCTCCCGCGCAGCAGCACGATACAAATGCTCGGCATAGTTCATATTTAGACTGGCCGCTCGAACCGCAATCCAGCCCAACCGTGACGTCAGGGCAAGGAAAAGCGCGGGTATATTCGAATCTTCGTTTTGGCGTCGTTTTCATTTGCCGATTTCACAATAACTATTCTGAATTTCGCGATACTAAATAGCATACCGAAAAGAGTAACGGACGGCGATTTCGAATATATCGTTAGTTGGGGTTGCTCAAAATATCGCCGGAGTTCCCCTTTAAAGGAAATCAGATCTGCGGGTATGTTTTAGAGAGTAAGGCTAAACGAGAAAAAAAATTGCTTAGTGAAACCTATACAATTATAATTGGTCGGAAAGCGTCGCGAATGAGGAACTCGCAGCATAATTATGCAGAGAAAAATACATGTGTTTATAATCTTGCTTTTGCTTTATTGTTGTAGGAAGTCCGGACACTGATGCCACTAATCCATCTCCAGGAAAATAAATTTGACATCTCTTTGGACGGTGTCCTCACAGTGAGCGGCATCAGAACGACAGTAGAAGCTGTGTGCACATCGCTGACAGTGATACCCGTCTCGAATTAAAACTGTTTCATTTTTTTTTTTTACTGCGAACAGAACGATCAATTTTTGCGACCCCAATAAAGTATATGAATGCACATGATCTTTACTTTTCTGCCTGTCACCTAGTTTTACGTACCGGAATGAAGAAGAATCCGTAAAGAACCTCGAAATAAGGTTCATTAAGAGCACGAAGAAGGGTTCTGGAAATAACCCAAATAGGGTTCATTAAGAAGAACCAATAAACGATACGAAAAGAACCCTCAAATAGGGTTTATTAAGAGCACCGAAAACGGTTCTAGAAAGAACCCGAATTAGGGTTCATTAAGAGCACCAGAAAGGGTTCTGGAAAGAACCCGAAATGGGGTTCATCAAGAGCACCAAAAAGGGTTCGGGAAAGAACCCGAAATAGGGTTGATTAGGAAGAACCCAAAAAGGATCCTAGAAGAACCCCGAAATAGGGTTCGCTAAATAGAACCCAGAAGCGTTCTGAAAAGAACCAAAAATAGGGTTCATTAGGAAGAACCAATAAACGATCCGAAAAGAACCCCGAAATAGGGTTCATTAGAAAGAACCCTTTTTGTGGGTTCTTTTCTGCACCTTTAAGGGTGCCGCCCATTGGACAAGCGAAAGAACCCTAAAAGGTGCTAGTTGGCACGCTTTTTTTTTAGAGTGAAGCTCGAATCGCCGGAAAACAGAAACCGTAAACCAGTCGTTTGCGTGCTTTCTTTGCTTGTCATCTGCTTCAAGAACGTGAAAACGCCGCCGTTCTATGCGCCAACTTTCCCGCGTGATTTGCCGCCGTGCTGTGAGTGGCCAGCGCGGAAGCTGCCGCTCTGCCGCGGCTAAAAATTTCCAGATGCGCCGCGACGGCAGAAATCGCGCCGCTATAGGGCCAAAATCGCTGCATGTGAAATCCGCTTTATACCAGCTAAAATTCCCTTTGAAGTCATCAAGTGTGTGGGGTTTTGTAATCTTCAACTTCCTTCTGGAACCAAGGCCCAGTCTATAAAGTCGAGCTAAGCGGGAAGTTGGAAACATCAGTGTAGTGTATATACAGATGCGTAGAGCCACTAAATGAGCTGCGCTTAGGGTATCGGCACTCTGTTCCCCGACATTGTTGTGGGCACCGCCATTTTGGTTCTTGCTCAGAGCAGACGCAACTGCCGATCGTCATGATTCAAAAGTGCGACTTCCTCAGCATTAGATTCGGTGTTAGGAAGCCCATGTAATATTGCTTTGCACTGCCACGAACTGTTCAGACATCTGTGAAGGACGGAAAAGCGTTTTCTGTGATTTTAGATAAAGCTTCAGATAACTGGCAACCATGAGTTTAAGACACAGTATGGCCAAGTGTCGTTATTTTGAAGCGTAGCTTATTTAGTGGTACTACAGTGGCCCCAGTGTAGTGCATCCGTCATCCAAATGAAGGTATACTACTCTGACTAGAGAGTGTTGTGACCCAGTCTAGGTTTTTACCGGAGGCTATGGAGTCACGCATGTGTCAACAGAAAAGTGGAGTCACTGTTGTATGTTGGCTCTGTCACGTCATTGTTGTGACGGCGCTGTTTCTGAGAGCCCGAGAATCAGATGCGAAAACACGGTTTCGGCGCTATGATATTCTTGCGCAAACTGAAGTGGAGTCGGTGTTGTATGTTAGCTCTGTCACATCATTGTTGTGACGGCGCCGTTTCTGAGAACTCGAGAATCAGATGCGAAAACACGGTTTCGGCGCTATGATATTCTTGCTGGTTAACGTAGCACACTGGTTAACGTAGCAAGTGACCAAAATAAGCGGTGGTAAAAGCCCCCTTTTTCTTCTGATCTCTGCGATATCGTTTTGTAGGAGCGCCGGTTCGCAAGCGATGCGGAAGATGGCGTCACGGTCGTTTCGTGTGTAACGGGTCCACAGCACGGCCACGTCATTGCACTCCCTCTATTTTAGCATGCCCTACTCTGTCTTCTGCAATACACCGCCAGGGAACCATAACGGCCCCTGAGATCGTTATTTGTTCAAGAAGCTCCCCGGGGTTGCTTCCGTCTTCGGTAGGTGGCATCTTTCTAATCTTTCCTTCTCTCCTATTCTAGAAAAAGAAAACGGCCAATGGCGGCTTCGCTGCATGGTAACAGACACAAGGACACGGAAGTGCGGAAAATTCTAAAAAAAAAAAAAAAAACATATCGTAAAAAATAATAATATATATTGCTAAGCAATTGTGTTGTGAAATGTTAGAGCTTGATCGCTCAGCGGTTACACTTTATACCCAAGCACATTGATGTCAGTCCGTGTAGTGTGGTATTATCCTCTGGTGCTCAAACTCGGGTGTCTAACATCTTTGCTCACGCTGTTTATTACTGAGATTCCGCGCAACTAAACACATACGTTCACGGCGCTCTTCGTAAGATAACTTCACGCGTACATGGAATGTCGCGATACCGCTAATCACAGTCAGTGCGCCCACGCTCAATCCCGTGAACACCTCCTCACCCATCCCTAGTCACGTGACCTCCCGCGTTAGCCAATCAGCGACGAGCTCCCTTCGTTCGTCCTCTCTCCCCGTCAAACAATAAGCGTCGAGCATCGCGGTCGCTTCACTTTTTGGGCTTCACGAATTGCTGAGCAACTAGCCAAAATACGCTTCAAAGCTTATAGTTTTCTTGCGAACGCACTGATTCTGTTTTCGCTCCTCGCCGACATCCTGTCACTGGGGGGTCGAGCTACCAAATAGACACATAAACCAAACTGCCGTGTCATGGTCATACAAACATGGCTGACGGGGCCGCTCTGTCACCGTGCCTCAACAAGGTGTCGTGCAAAAGAAGAGGGTCTGATCACCTGCATGTCGATCACGGCTGCACAAACTCACTGGTGAAATCAGAACATTTGACAGGAGTATAAAAAGCAATATATGTTGAATATAAGAAGATGCACACTAAGCTATAGCCTGAGGTATTCGCCTTCAGGAAACATACATCATCATTGGAGCTCTACGCACGACCCTCGATGATATGGGTGTCATCATTTACAAGCGCCAGCCTGTGATCGGGCAGCAAGTGTATCCATGCGAGCTATACAGAAGCAAATGTAGGGTGATGGTCCTAGATCATCATCAATTGCCACGATGATCAGTCCAGAATTATTTGTCTTTGTGGATACCGCATGCCCGCCTAGAGCTCTTCTCCACCACCCCTTTCTTTGTCCCCCGATAAACCTGATGCTCACACGTCACCCAGACACCAGGAGGCGCTGCGGTGCTTTGCTGATTTGGTCACGTTATCCGTCATTTGCGTTTTCCAGCTCCAGACAGCTGGCAGTCCAGTTTAAAAACTGGCGAACCTTTATATATCGCCGGTAATTTTTCGTGTAATTGATTAACTGGGACGAATAGGTTAGTTTGTGTCGACACAAACATAGTTTTCTTGCAAAGATTTACACCAAAAATGTTCAAATACTCGAAAAGATACTTAGCAGTTGGCGTTTGGGAGATCATTGCCAAGGCGGCCATCATGAAGCCACGTGGTACCGCTTACGGAGCCTGAAAAGCTGGAAAGCGGAGGTATAATTTGAAGCGTTACACGCACAACGCACGCCCGTGAACATTAGTCCACGGTTGGTATCACCGACAGCAGATGGAAACTTTCCAGCATTCAAAAGTTGGAAAACACGAAAAAAAAAAAAAAAAACGATTCTCAGCCAATAAGCAGCGGGTATGGCCAACAACAAATTCAAGGGCCCGTTCTGACAGACAATAAGAAGGCACCCGCCAGGGCCGTCCGTGTCTTCCCACGGCAGCCACCACCGAGGACAAGATGGCGGCGAATGTCACGGCGTGCCGACAGGGGGCCCGGACTACCAGAGGTCCGGGTTGGTGTTTGGCGGTCTGACGGGGATCGTTTCGACGAGCTTGTCCTTGTCCCGCTGCTTTTGCAGTTCCTGGTGCTTGCGCTCCTTGCGCTTGTCCGTGATCCACTTGACCGCTTGGACCCCGTAATCCAGGACGTCCAGAAAGGACACGCCGATCCAGATGCCGATGAAGCCGCCCATATAGGAGAACAGCTCGATTTGCTATGGCAGACAAACGAAAGCGTGCCTGCATTAACACGCTATATAATGGGCACTATGCGGTGCCCGGATCGCGTTTTCGACTGGTGCGTTTCGCGTCCTATCCCGCCCATGCAACAGATGACGTCACAAGAACCGAAATGTCACGTTGTCGGACGTCGCGATTCTGGCGGTCGGACGTAGAAGTTCCTGTAGGAAGTACGCGCGAACTCGAGAGTCACTTTCATCGCGGGGTTGCAACTCCTGGCTGCCGAAGCTTACGTAGTGCTGTGACACCGCCAGGATCGCGACCGGCGACAACGTGACACTGCTATGACATCACAAGGCGGAAATCGAGAGACCACATTTTTTAGGGCGAGGGACACAGACCAGTCAGGGACGCGTTCCAGGACCCACAATAGACGCGTTGCTCTGGGGCAGGGGGCGCGAGCGCATCCGCAAGACGCGACCATGTTATGATGGCTGAAAAATCCAGGTGGCTCTGTAGCGTTCGATTTTGTACGATTTTGCACGTGCCACGTTCGAATGCAAGCATCTGAGGATGCGCGATAACAAAACTTCTAAAAAAAAAAAGAATTATGCAGCTCACGGCCGCAGCGTCTCATTAAACATTCCTTTCATCTTTGCTTTCTTTCATAGCTTCCGCGAGCACGTATGTTTCACTTTACGTGATAGCGAAGCCGAAGCTACTCGCAAAAGCACGTCCTTCTGAAAGGTGCTCGCACTGCACGAGCGCGCGTGCTTGACAGGGACGCTGAAAGCTCGCAGCTCGCTCCTGTAGCCTCTGCTACGCTGGCACTTAGAATGGAACGGAGTAGTAAAGAACTCTTGAGGGGGAAGCGTATTGACGCGCATGTTCGAAACGCGAGCCAAATATTATATTTTGCTCGCCTGGAGCGCTGCTCAAAACTTGACAGCTACGGGCCTATTGGCGACGTGCGCGACCGAAAGCGTCGCTGTGGTCGGCCTTCCACGATTGGCCCAAAAGCTGACTATGACGTCGGAAAGGGTATACCATCGACGGAAATAAGAGGAATGAAAGAACTTTAACTTCGACGGTGTTGGCAGTGTTGCTTTGAGAGCGCAATGATTTCAGGCTTCCACCATGCTATTTACAAACACCATCGAACTTGTTGTTCGCAAGGTAATGACGTCACAAGGGGGAACCATAGGAGGGCGCCACCAAAACATCTCGCCGCTAATAGACGCAAACACATGTGGCATCGGTGAGACAAAGCTCACCATTAGCAGTGTTCTCTAACGCGCGTGCCCGCGCAATATGGCCCGGGAAACGTGAAATTTTCGAACCAGTAGTCTTCACTCACTACACGAGAGGTCGCTCTAGGCACTTGCAGTAATTGTGTCTGCGCTTTACGCTGCCCCCCCCCCCCCCCCCCCTCCCCGTGTTTTGTGGTTGACCTCGAATCTTGATTGACGTTAATAAAACGGCGTCATCAAGCGTTCTGCGCATGCGTGACACCGCCATAACTTTAGTTCACAGGAGGCAGGTGGCTGTGCACGAGGCGGCTCGTGCTATGCATTGCGTGACGCACAGAGCTCCACCGAGGTTGTTGCACGTGCAAAAAGACTAAAGTTACCGGAATGCATGGTGGCAGCGGTGGGGTAACCAAACCGGCTGGTAAGATTGGTCTTTTGCCGTTGTGCGTCGTCCAACCGGTTTGTTGCCGTTCTTTTCGTCAGCGCAGAAGAAAGAAAGCGCGCGTGGGACTTTACTGGCGCCTTTCGCATTCGCAACTCCAGAGGAGGCGACGCGACCCAGCGGTAAAGACGCGCTCTAAAAAAATCTGGAGTGTTTGCTTTTCCGCAAAGCACTTGCGGGAGCCAGTCGCTGCTATCTACAGAGTAAGCTCGGCGACTGGAGAGGCTAAGATATGTTTACACCTTTGAATGATCAGTCTGCGCTGTGACATTGAGCATGATGCGTTGCGGTCAGTAGACGTTCCAGATTTCGTCGAATGCGTGGCGTGGCCTGGCGGCCGACAGGTGAAGCAGAGTAAAAAGGATTAAAGACACGTCGTTGGAGTTGCGAATAAAACCGGGACGCCCATGCAAACAATTTGCAAATCTTTTATATCGATAGTTTCGATATAGACCCTTAGAAGACCGACGAAATCAAAAACTTCTTTAGTGAACTCAAGAAACGTGTTAGGGAGTGTTAGGGATACATAATGAGTGTGGTATTGTACAAAAGCATACGATCGTCATCTCACTCGTTCACTCACCTCGTATTTTGCTCTGTGACGATAGGTGATCCGGTTTAGGGTTCCGTAGATGAGGTAAATTCTGGTTAGGTTCATGCTGGAACACAAAATCAAATGCAAGGGGATCGGCTCTGGCCGTATGCGAGTAAAATTAAGCCAGCTCCGACTGGTCATAACTATAGTGCCACAAACTAAGCCACGCCTAGAGATATCGGCATTCCAATCTCCCATTTTCTTGTAGGCTTTGCCACTTTGATGCTAACTGCAGAGCGGCTGCAATTGGTGGTCGTTATGGTTTGAAAATACAATTTCTTGAGTTTCAGATACGATGTCCAAGACGCTCAGCCAGTGGCGTCGCTAGGGAAGGGGGGGAGGGGGGGTAGGGGGACGGTCGCGGCGGGCCACCGCACCAGGTGCCACTGACCCTAGTGACGCCACTGCGCTCCAGCCGATGTCATTTTCCTCCGTCACGGACTCTTTTAACTTTTCTGGAGGACTGGAGACCGTTTTCTGCGATATCAGTTACAGATAACTGGCTACTGAGAACTAGGAAGCGTAGTTTTTTCAGTGGCTCTAAGCGTGACGGTCCGGTACGAGCTCAAGCACCCCGCAAGAACATGCGCGCATGTGCAGAATGTCCTTCGTGCCTTTCTAAACACAGCATTCGATCGAGTCGCGTATACGTGTTCCCTTTCTTGTGACATCCTTGCCGTGCAAACTTAATGGTTCTCTCAAGATCCGGCTGTCGCAAACTCCACTGTGAGGTGTATACTATCTTTTTTTTCTTCTTTCTGCAATATTTGTCGTAGTGATGTCGTAAAATGGAAGTTCATATGAGTGTAGTTTCTTACCGAGCTTCCTGGAACGTAGTAATGTTTATCCTGCTGTACTTGTCCCGTTCCTGAAAGAGAGACCACCAGACTGAACAACAGCAACAAAAACTACCTTCCATCACAAACATTATGAAAACTTAACAAACGAAGGTCACCAGCGAGGGCCGACTTTCGGGCTCTTGAGCACGGTCTCAATACTGGACATAAGAAAAGACTAACGCCAAACAGAACGTCTCGTGTCGCAATGCTCGACTGAAGATCAGAGACCAGCTAGTTCGCCTGCGTGCCTACAATTCCTTAGGATCTCTTACTTTTTTTGTAGTAAAATAAATGATTGAGTGAAAAACCAGAATTGGTGAGGAGTGCACTCTTAAAGTTCAATAGCGTGTACTGTATTCATTTTCCCCTGTTTTCATCTGTCTCCCTTCATCCAGAACTACACGGAAAACACGTGACCTCAACGGTGAGGTCTCCAAAGCTCAGCAACTCGGGGCGCCACGAGCTTAGCCAATACCACCTAGAAGACAAGGCCTGCGCATGACGTTTCGTTAGTAGATCCCCGACCCGCCCCAAGCGGCAAACACCCCGAAGCTTGACGAGAGTATATATGGGCCGCTTCAGAACTACGGCTGTTCCAAATCTTACCCAAATGGATCCGAGTTACTCAGACGGGTCGTGTCACGTGACAACACAGATATTGAAAAACGCTGGACGCGGGTAGGTTTTAGAACGTCAAGGTATGAACACCTTATCCTGGAGTAAGATCGAGTAAACTTTGGAACACGGGGAACACGGCCAACTACGTCGCATTCACTTGCGGCCACAGCTGCGTGCGCGACTGCTGAGCGCGAGCTGATGGCGAGCTTCCAGTTCATTTGTAACGTGCATTCGAACACTCTCTCGGCCAGGAGCGCCGGCTAGCACGCGCTCCTGGCTTTGAGACGAGCATTTCTAGAGCACGCGCTCGTTCTGCCGAAGAACGCTTCAAAGCAGCGACCTCGAGCTCTCGTGCTTGTGGCATTGGCTGCGTCCTCTGCTTAGGAATGAACGGAGTATAAATAGCGCCCTCCAAAATGGCGTCCAGTGCCAGCGTCCAGCGCCCAGCGAAGGGATTTGCAGCCCTTCGCACAGCAGTAAGGCATTTTCACTCATTCATTTGACGCTCCACGTGAACGTCTAACTTCATCGTCTGGTATAGCACGAGACACTCGGCATGAGCATCTGTTTTATTATCTGCTACACAAACCACTGAAGCAGTCAATGGAGCAGACGATGTTGCAGACGACGTAGCAGACGATGTTGCTCATCCGGGCTAGCTAGGGGGCGCTGAGGGGATCTACTAGTGATGACGTTTAGAGGAGGAAACGCGCAGGCCTTGTGTTCTAGGTGGTATTGGCTGAACACACTTAAGGCCGGTTCTCACATGCAACGAAGCGCTGATGTAGCGCTCCTCACGTGTTGTCAGCTACTTATCGTCTGCCATGAGCAACAGTTTTGACGGTGCGATACAAAGCTGGTGAACGCTGCCGTCAGCATGCCCTTAGCGCGAGGTTAGCGCTATGCTTGTAGCGCTCCGCTGCATGTGTGAACTCCTAGTGTGAACAGGCCTTTAGAGTTCCTGTATAGGGTCCCTTCCGGAGCCAGAGTCGCGCGTCTGTTTTTCTAAGTGCCGCCGCGCCGCTATTCGCCTAATTCAGTCACGTGAGGAGCAGGCTCCAAATGCCGTGCAGGAAAGACGGCGCTACGGGGATGAATGCGCAACTCTGGCTACTATAGGGAGCCTATACAGGAACTCTAAACACATTGACAGGATGGATGCTTGGGCGAGTTGGGTATTCATCATGTAGGAAACAGCGCAAAATTAAACTCACACTGGAAAAACACGCACACAGGAAAGAAGATTACTCGCGTCGCGCTAACTTACAACTCAGTTTGAATCTGCGTCTTTTTTCTTTTACCCGTATGATGATTGATTATATCTCGCTTCGTTGTCTTCTGTACCAAACAAACGGGAATGTCTATCACACATATTGGCGACGTGCGCGACCGAAAGCGTCGCTGTGGTCGGCCTCCCACGATTGGCCCAAAATCTGACTATGACGTCAGAAAGGGTATACCATCGACGGAAATAAGAGGAATGAAAGAACTTTAATTTCGACGGTGTTGGCAGTGTTGCTTTGAGAGCGCAATGATTTCAGGCTTCCACCATGATATTTACAAACACCATAGAACTTGTTGTTCGCAAGGTAATGACGTCACAAGGGGGAACCATAGGAGGGCGCCACCAAAACATCTCGCCGCTAATTACCCCCGAGTGTCAAGATATAAGAACTCTTTTTCAGTAAGTGTTATGGACGGACCACTAACACAAGTATCATTCATTGTCATGATGTAGCGCACACCAGCTCGGAGCACGTGGAGCAAAAGCTCGCGCTGCAGAACCCAGGGATCCTGGGTTCGAGCCCCACCCCTGCCCGTTTCGATCTGGATGAGCATCGTACCGGCGTGCGGTCGTGTGTCACTACTGCGTGATGCACGTTAAAGACCCCAGGCTAGCGGCTGCACCGCACTGGCTAAATTTCTCATCTACAGCTGGGAGACTCGTCGCCCCTGTGAGGCAGACCAAGTTCTAGGCTGTATAAACACACACACAACCCAATTTTTTTGTCATGATGTATTGGCGACGTCCGCGATCAAAAGCGTCGCGGTGGTCGGCCTTCCACGATTGGCGGAATGCTGACTATGACGTCAGCAAAGGAGTTCTCGTGGACGGAAATAAGAGGAACGTGAGGACTTCAATTTTGACGGTGTTGACAGTGTTAGTTCAAGAACGCTATAATTTCAAGCTTCCGCCATGCTAATTACAAACACCATAGAACTTGTTGTTCGCAAAGTAATGACGTCACGAAAGGTAACCATATGAGGGCGCCACCGAAACATCTCGCCGCTAATAGCTGCCTCAGTGATCTCACGTATTAATCGGTGATGGTTCTTTTCAATTGCGGTGCTATTTTTTAAGTCCGCAGTGCGCCCACAGTCACGGCAGTGAATGCCCAAAAGTCCTGAGTTAGCTATTCGGGTGTTGCTGTTATGTTCTCTTATTCTGTCATTTACATTTCTTCCAGTTTGTCCACGCACTGTTCGCCACATGAAAGGGAAAAGGAATAAACCACTCTATCTGAGCAAGGGATGTATGGGATTCTATGATTTTTCGTGCAGGCTGTAATAGCTTTTGGTAATGCGTTAACATTTTTTTACATAAACCTGAGAGTTTGTTCGGGGCTGAAAAGACTACATCGATATTTGCGCGGTTCCCAGTTATCTCAAGATTATAGGAAATGTTATAAATGTAGGAGATGACTACCGGTCTTTGGTTACTGTGTCTGTGGCGTGACTTGCGGGGTATAGTTTCAGCTTTTTTTTTAATTTGTTCAAGAAGACTTTCGGCGACTGAAGTTAACAGATGTGAAGGATATCCCGCACTTAGTATCCTAGATACTTGTCTTTCGGAGCTTGTTGGACCTGAGTGCGGGCAGGACTTGAAAATATAGTTTTTTAAGCATTGATTTACTATGCCTCTCTTTACCAGTTTTGAATGCGCCAAGTTATGATTGGGGAGTGGTTTTTCCCCTTTCGGGTCATACGACCAACAGACATGACGAGGCTGAAGAGACAATCTGAGATCCAGAAATCTTAAGTACCCTAGCTCTGGAAGCTACCTTGCCTCATGTGTGATCTCTAAAGGGTCTACACATGTTTTAAACTTGGCTAGAACGTTAAACACATAAATCCGAAAGTCTTTTTTGTTGGTGTCTAGGAGTACCAAATAGTCATCAACGTAGGGAAACACCTTTACCACATGTGATGAATCTAAGCTCTCTTGAAGCAGTCTAGCGAGATATACGAGGAATAGATCACTGGAATCGGCTCCGATAAAGACTCCTTCTTTTTTTTTTTTTTGAAGGTAGGTATTACCGTTTTAGGATGCGAAGGTAGACCTGAGGTAAAACCTAAGCAATTCAAGAAAGTTGCTCTGGGAAAGTCTTGAGGTGTTTTGGAAGGCTATGGCACCATACAAGTCAATGCTGTCTTCAATGAACTCTAAAAGGCGTGCCTAAGGTAGAGCATAGTATAGGTCCTTGATGTCGATTGAGAAAGCCTGGTATTGATTGGCACTGTGTTTTTGTATAGGAAGCTGATGGCTTCATATGATCTTCTTACCAAAAAGGGATCATCAACTATGAATAAATTAAGTCTTATTTGTAATAATAATGCCAGAGATTTTTGCCAGGTGTCTCTTTTTGATACAATAACTCGCAAGGGACAATAAACCTTGTGGGCCATAGTTGCCTACGCCATAGCTGCTTGCCCGTTCATGACCATGAGAGCTTCAAAGGCTCCATGCTCTGGCATTCGATTTTTCACAAAACTGGCGTCAACAAGCTCTTGTACGAGGCTTCCTGGCACGGGCGGTCTGATCTCTCACGTGTATCGGACGGCCAGCAAGTATTCCAAAATGTGCCTTTTGGCGCATCGGACCTATTGGGTCTATTCTGGGGCACACCAATCAAAGGGCAGTATAGAGAACGCGCAAAGAACGAGCGACGATGAGGCAGACACGCGCGAGCAGTCTTTGGCTGAGGTCGGGGGAATACAAAAGCGCGTAGGGGCGCATTTGGCGGGTAAGCGCCCAGCGTACGCAGAGAGCAGACGAACAAATCCGCCGTATATTGCTTCGCAGAAGGGTTTGGATTTGGGCTAGTTGGTTGAACATGTTTTTCACACACCACAGCGCTCTGTGGTGTGTGTGTCTCCTACTCGTCCGTCGTTTTTAGCGCTTTTAACCCCTAAACAAGTATATTGCTTCGTTTGCAGCTAAGCCAATACCACCTAGAACACAAGGCCTGCGCGTTTCCTCCTCTAAACGTCATCACTAGTAGATCCCCTCAGCGCCCCCTAGCTAGCCCGGATGAGCAACATCGTCTGCTACGTCGTCTGCAACATCGTCTGCTCCATTGACTGCTTCAGTGGTTTGTGTAGCAGATAATAAAACAGATGCTCATGCCGA